TATTGTTAGAGTTGTTAAGAGTTACAGAATAGGCCCCTAAATTAATTTTTTATTCTTTCTTTATTTCTTTACTCCATACATTGTTATTGTTATATTATTTATTACTGTTATATTATTTTTGCATAATTTTGTACATTTTCTACTACTATTATTTTATATAACTACTTTGACTCTATCTTATAATTTTATATAATTGTATATTTCTATATTCACTTGTTTTTCAAATTATTTATGCTGTATTACTTTTGCCAAACTTTACTTATTTTTATACACATATTTATTCCATTGTACTTTCTTTTTCTTTGTTTACTTTTATTCTTAGAAGATTTGTCTTAGAATAGAAATAAATGCTTTTGTCTACCTATCTCTTTCAATTGTTATGCTTGTTGTCTAACCAGAGTGTTTCATTTGTTTCAGTGGGCTGAGGAACGATTCTATACCAGAGACATTTGATCTCAGACATGTTTTAGGGAATGAAGCGAATTATTTTCCCATCCGATACGTAAAGGTTCTTCCATTGCAGTCGTGGGGTCCCAGTTTTAATTTCTCTATATGGCACATCAAATTAACCGGTATCAATGATCCCAAGGTCATTAAGCCCTGTCTCGAGTGGTTCAATACGGTAAATGCATCATTGAACAGATGATAAAAAAGCAAAGATCCTTTTTTACAAATAAATTGTAGACAATTATTCTGGATTCTGGACTGATCAATTTTATATAAAAAATGCAAAAAATTGGAAAATTACAGTTTTGTTATCCACTTCTGGCGTTGACTTATAATTACATCATACAAAAGCTTTAGACTTTTAATTGAAACTAAACTGGTTTTTTTTGTATTGCAGTACCGACAGAAGGAGATAATAAGATTGTGCATGAAACACTTCCGGCAAATGGAACAGCCCGAGATTGTGGAAACCTTGCAAAGAGTCACCGGAGTTCCCCTGGAAGATCCACGACTGTCAACACTGTACGAACTTTTGGTTACCAAGGGCGATCATCTGCAGGCGGAGCGTTTTATCAGCAACGCGCTCACGAGTAAGTCCTACGTAGCTCGATCATTTCTCTCCCTTGATTTGTGTTCATTTCACAGCCGTGACGCTTCTACATTGTTAAATCCGCTTTTTAGTGGGACTCTTAAACGATTATATCAATGCTCAAACTTATAGAGCAATTTGGACAAAGTTATCGTCCAGCGAGCCCAAGCCCGGGATGCGGGGCGGTCATCAGATGGTACTTGATCCGACAGCTGAGGTACTTTATCTCTTCGGTGGATGGGACGGTAATCAGGACCTCTCTGACCTGTGGTCATACGACATAGAGGCCGGCAAGTGGACTCTCATCTGCAAGGACACCGAAGCGGTGGTCGGTAGTGTTCAATAAATTTCATTCGACATTACATCCGATTTTTTTTTTAAAGAAAGGAATAAGATTAATTAAAAAAGTAAAAACTCTACGTTGCTCCTTGATATCTTATTTATGTAAAGAAATGTTTTCCGTCCAATTACAGTGTAGAATGATTAGTTTTTGAATTTATTTTATTCCCTTTCTGAAAAGAATTACAAAATACGTCAATTTTACAACATCAAGAAAATATGTACTCCTTTAAGAATTACAGAATTATGGTACAGAATAACATGTAATTAATCTCTTATCTTTTCACTATATTGCACACATGTCACGTTCCGACAGCATGTAGACAATATGCTTGATAAATTCAATAAGGTGTTTCTTTGACAATATCAAATAATATTTTGAAAAAACAATCACTAATGAGTTCTTTATGAATAAAACAGAATTTTTAAGTATCATAAAGTATAAAAAATATAATTAAGAAGATTTGTGTAAAATAAATTTCACAATTACATCTTTTGAAGATTTCTTCGCGTTACAATTTTGGTAAATAAATATATTTTGTCTACAAAATTATCAGACCAGATGTATGCATATTTTATTCAGACCTGTTCTTTTTCCACTCCAGAACTAAACTTTTTGCACGATTTATCTTTAAGACAAAAGAAAATACAAATAGTTTAATTCTCAAACAAAAAAAAACAGGCCTTTTATTTTCGTCACATTTACAACAATCTATGATTCCTAGGGAGGACCTAGCGCGCGTTCATGCCACAAGATGTGCTTAGATCCGCAAAGACGGCAGCTCTTCACATTGGGCAGATACTTGGACACGCAGTATCGTACTTGCGAGAATTTAAAAAGTGATTTTTACGTTTATGATATCGAGTCGAATAAATGGACGCAAATCTCAGAGGACACTGGGACGATAGGCGGGCCACCGCTTGTATTTGACCATCAAATGTCGATGGACGTAGAGAAACGAACTATCTATGTTTTTGGCGGGCGAGTACTGACTCATCAGAACAGGTAAGTAAGTTGCAGAGGATTAGAAGAAATGGGTTTAGAAAGATTATACACTTAGATTTTGTCCATCCAATGTAAGATTGATTTTAATCTTGATATAACTTATTGTTTATCTTTTTCTAATTCTTAAAATTATGCCTGTGTAGTTAGTTTTAATCTTCAACTAACTCTTCTTCTTTTTCTAGTTCTAAGAATTAAAAAAAAGATGAAGATAAGTTGAACCGAGATTAAAGTTAATCTACATTGGTAGAAACGGGTATTAGAAAAAGATGACAGTTACTCGAGATAAAAGTTAATCTTACATTGGTGGAACTGGGCCTTACTGTACCTTTCTGACATCATCTAACTCACGTAGTGCCGACGAACACAGCATAATACCGGAGCCACATTTCTCGGGACTGTATTCTTACCACGTGCCAACCGGCACGTGGGTCAGACTCGCCTGTGATATCGCTGATAAACAATGCTCGAGAGACATGCCTATTTACAGATCCCGCGCTGGCCATTCCATGCTGTTTCATCCGGTTGGTATCCCATATCTTTCCTCCTCCGACTTTGTTTCTTTAATGCACGAAAGAAATAACAAGCAAATACATGGTGAGATTTTTGCAAAGTGGAATCTTGTTCCAGCGGTCGAGAAAACTATACATATTCGCCGGTCAGAGAGGAAAGGAATATCTCAGCGATTTCTTCACGTATGAAGTTGATACGCAACACGTCGAATACATAAGCTACAACGAGTTCGGTACGACGAAGGATTCTAATCACGTTCCCGCGGCTGGATTCACGCAGAGAGCGACCATCGATCCCGAACTTGGCGAGATCTACGTTCTGTCGGTTTGTATCGCGTAGCGAGATTATTAATCTAAGACGCAATTAATTAATATGTGAAATTTGCTATTATATAAAACTAAAGAACAAATTTTCTCAGGATTATATAAATTCTTACAACCTGAACTTCATAAATAATTAATTTGATGTTCTTTATATAAATGATATCTTAAATTATAAAAGTTATGTTTATATAATATATAAGTGATTCATTTTAATTTTAACAGATAAATATTTCGAAAATATACAAATATTTTACCAAGAAACATTGTAGATAAGAGTTGTATGATATAGACGGGAACACCTCCCTTTGTATCATATAATTTTATTTGGAGGGTTCTTTTGATAAAATTGCATTTTCGAAATACTTACCTGTAAAGGTATTAAAATGAACCACTCTGTATATTATATTTGTATTATATAAATCATATTTAAATATACATATAAATAATATTATATGTATGTGTGTGTTGTGTGTGTTTTTTTAGGGTTTGAGCAAAGACAAAGATAAGAGGGACGACAACGTGCAAAATTCTTTTTGGGTATACAATATTCAGAACAGCAAATGGTCTTGTATATATCGTAATGAGAACGTCGGTGAAAAATACTGGAGCAAGATGCAGGATTACGAACCATGTCCGCGATTTGCACACCAGCTCGTTTATGATCACACTAGAAAGGTATATTGTGAATTTAATAATTGTGTCCTTTTATATATTGCTGCTTCAAATAAATGTCCATTTGTCGATCGATTCAATTCACAATTCCCTCGTTAGGTTCATTTTCTGTTCGGTGGCAATCCCGGCAGATCCTGCCTTCCAAATTTGCGACTCGACGACTTTTGGCAATTGGAACTACGTCGGCCCACGGGCGAACAGATTTTGAAAAGGTGCAAGCTAATCATCAGGAAGCATAAGTTTAAGGAACTTGCTCTGAGCAATAGTATAGAAGCCCTCGAGTACCTGCAGACAAAGATTTTCGAAATTATCGACCATAGTGACACGCAACAAACAAAAGAGGTATATTCATATATGTTTCTACGAATACGGTCAACGCGATGCTATAAATGCTTTACAACAATTTTTGATTGGTCAATTTGTAAAATTCTTTTTTCTAATTGGTCAACTAAACGCTTTAAAGCATTTGTAGTGAGACTTTGACCGCAGCCTTCATTTACTTATTTTTATGTTTATCATCGTGATTATAGTAATCGCTAAGCTAGTATCATCTCACTAATCACCATCTTTCCTTCGTAGTTTCAACTTTTGACATCGATCTTATTCCGAAAACAGAATAACTCATTGGAGGATGTCTCCCATTCGAGCACGATTCTAAATGAGCTGACGACTGGCGTAACGATGCAACAGTGCGCGAACACGCGTGATGTACATAACTTGCGAACTGAGCTATACAACAAACTCGCAGAATTTTTTCCGGAATCGTTAACGCAGCCGCGGGCGAATCTGATCGATCTCCTGCCATTATAATGACGCAGCAAACGGACTCGTGAGATCTTGAGACCTTGACGACGGAATGTTCTCTGTTCATATAATTTCTTTTGTTCAACAATAATATCCTCGTTACAGCTGGCAAAGTAATCCTCATTTTTGTAGACTTACGACGAGCCTCGCCACGTTTGTGGTGTGATTTGTTCTTCTCCTCTTGACATGTGCTAATCATAGGAGAAAAAAGAATTGGTTGCAGTAGATTTCGGGTTCAACATTTGCAAAACTGCCTCTCAATTTTATTTATTTTGTCTTATAATACACTTCTTAAAGAGTTTTTTCTCTGTTTTTCTTAATGAACCGGAAAAGCAATTCGGGACAAAGCATTCTATGTGTCATTTATACTTATCTACACTTGTTTGAGATCGGGAACTTTGTGATATTGATAGCTTTCTAATGGACTGGTTAGCTGATACAAGTAAACTAGAGATCAATTTTATATATAATCTCTTCTGTATTCTATATAGCTATGTGTTTATAATGTGGCCATAAAGTTGTTGTTATTATGTTTGCTGAAATAATATATTTCTCGTCGAATGTGAATTAAAGGGAGATTTAAGGCTAGAGATAGCGCTTAAGGAAGCTGTTAATTGAAGCGTCGCGATTTAACGCTTTCAAGTACTTGACACAATATATGCTACTTTTTACCAAATGTAAACCAAGAAATTATTGTACAGCTTCGCTAAACGCAACAAATTGTAACTCTTAATCTGAAGTCTAGCGATTTTTTGGCTTACAGAGAGATGTGACGGAGAGACAGAAAATGTTATGGTCAGTTCCATATAAAATTTCCTTCTTTAGTTAATTATAATCTCAAGTTATAATTAGTTTAATCATTATTTAATTTAATTGATTATGATTTTGAATTACAATTAATTAAATAAGGAAAGTTTTATACGAATATTATAATTAATTGAATATAGAAATTTTATTGTACTCACCATAATATTCCTTCAACTAGGTAATTGCTTCCTTATGTATCTCCCGCATTGTTAAAAGCAACAAGGGATATTTCATGTAATCAAGTTGAATGAAATATCCCGTAAATATATCGATCCATTTTCTCTTGTAAAATGATTTATTCTTAGATATAGCAGCTCCGTTATCCCGTGTTTTTTGTTTATAATCTAAGAATAAGTTCATTCACCGAAAATGCCTTCTAATGAGATGTGAAATCTTAAAGTGTTATTATTGCGTGCAAACGTTGACACGAGTTAACAATTGACTTCACACTTTTGACTTCCCCAAAGGCTGTCAGCTCCTTTCCACAAACGATCAACTGCGATAAGATACCCGAGTAAATTTCAGGAACTAAGTTTTCGTTAGCATGTAAATACCTATGATGACGAGTCACGATCTATTTCCGTGTCACAATTGTCGGTACGTTACACTTAATTGTTCATCGGCTAAAATGCATATTGTACATTGTATATACGTAATCAGCCTCTCGCGAGCTTAAAACATTACTGAGGAAAGAGGCGTATGCGAGAACGATGCAATTATATATATATTGTAAGATGTAGAAGCAAAAACTGTATAGCAGCTAAGAGTATCCGACCGCGCTCTATCTTTGTACATACACGATTATATGATGATAAAGAACGTCGAGACGATTTTTATAATGTGATTCCAGTTATGCTAAGTTAGATAACGGAATTGTAAAAAAAATGAACGGAGTATATATATATATACATACAGAAAAAAAATATATGAGTAGAGAGACGAAACGAAAGTGTACGCAGGCATAAAAACGAGATGACGCCGCCATTCCTCTAAATATACGATATATTAGACGTCTCGAAGCTGGAAGGATCAGGTGTTGCTTGTACGCACTATATACAGGGAACATACGCGAAGTTCTTCAAGCTTCAAGCGAGCAAAACGAAAAACGTGGATATACATCCGAAGTTCTAGTCAGATAATAAATGTTTACAAAGTACACGACAGAGAGAAAAAAACTACGAGTTTGGAATTTATTTACACACGCAAACTTCGGTTAAAGAATGAGAAATTTATTCATTTTTTTTTCCATTCCTATCATCGGGATACATTCTCCTTTCAGAATTACATCATACGAATATATAACTCTGTATATCTCTTTATAATATAATATACAATACAAACGGAATAATATTGCACGAGAAAAAACAACGGACAAATGCACATTAAATATCATTAACAACATATTTCGAACCATGATGGGTTTCTTCCACCATGTTTCGGACTGTAAAGAACTGAGAGAAACCAAGAGTGCATTTGATGAGACACTATTAGCGCTATTTGTGTCACTCCTTGTTTACGTCTAATGATTTAGATAGCAACGTGTCTATCTTATTGACAAGTTACTCGCAAATAAATGTGTTGCTACCAGAATTGCAGCAACGGGATTTATATTTGTTGACAAGTTGATGCCTTCATAATATTAGCAACTTATCGACAACTGTAAAGTCTTCATCATCAGAATTCGTGCTGTTGCCATAATCTATAGGCTCACACTCATCAATACTATCATATTGCCAACGCAAGGTATCTTTGATATTGCTATCTTGCCGTTAATTGCTAGCAATACGCATATTCATTATTGCCTGTGTGGTACAATGTCGGTATATTCGAAATTAAAATAAATACACAAGTTTTTAGCATTATAAGCAATCACAGATTTGCATGATTTTACTGAGACACTTTGTTGTCTGGGGAACAATAAAATTAAAATAGCACGAATAGCGATAGTAGAGTATCTCCTCAAACGCATCTCAATAACTGATCAATAACATTGCAAAAAGTATATAAATAAAGTAATAGTAAAGTTTCAGTCTCTATCATTAATAACATATGTATATCTTAGATATACATATATATATATATATGAACAATATATAAATTAGTATGCTCTTATTGCAAGGAAGCTTTATACATTGGATTTGCAGTTCTGTGTCAACTCTTGGTTCCATCCATTTGTTTAGACAAAATATACATGCACGCGTTGCATGCTCTATGAGCTTTGTTTAGTACTAAAATCACGTTAGCTTTGGTAAGACTTAATACGTATTATCTCCGATAACAGATTCCTGCATAATGTCACATTCAAGAGTCTAAATTTTCGAAAGCACCATCAATAAGTCTTAATAAAATTAATAACTTTTGGAAGATACACAGAATAATAATGTTAGAAATATAATAACTGAAGAAAGAAAGAGCTATTGCTCGTATAAAAGAATTGTCAAAAATGCTTGTAACATTCATAAAAAAAAAATTACGCAATTAAATTCGTTAAAATTATCTTAGAGTCTGGTAGACCGTCCAGAATATAATGAGGGGAATTCGCCATGGACGCAAGATCGGCCTCGAACAACGTTAACTGAAGCTCCTTTCGTGCTTTCTGTACAATATAAACCATCAGCGAGACTCCTACTAATATCTACAACACACAGCGAGAAAAAATTATTACTTTAATTACTTCTGCGAAAATTTGAGTAGGACATACGACGCACCTGGAAGCAAAATACTACGTAGCCAGTCGCCGCCGTAGATCTATCTTCCAATACATCCTGCATCGACCTCAGACTGCTGCCTAGATAAACGTTGACCAGTTGGGCAGGCAATAAACCTATTGCACTGGCTACGTGGTAATGAAAACCACCTATGTTACTGACCTAAATATACACATAAATATACATAACATTGTCGTGAGTTACATGTGAGAGATACTTAATGTGACCAGACTGTACCTCTCTATCTGTCTCAGGACATTTGTCTTGTTGTCTCATTCAATATCCAAATGTAGAAGAGACACAGTCAACACAAATGACAAATCATTTTATCCAACACAAAATCGTTCTATGACATTAATGAATAATAAGATAGAACATCATTTATATCGATTGTCTTTTTCCTAAAAAGAAAGCAGCCAAAGTAATACAGTTATTACTTTGTTTAATTTAATTGAATACAGTTATTACTTTGTTTAATTGAATTGTCTCTTTAATTAAAATTTTTGGATCATCTTTCCTTTTTTTCTTTTCACATTGAAAAGAAAAGAGATTAACAAGTTATCTTGTAAGAATTGAGTTTCTTAAATGAAAATTTCTCACTTTAGATCCAAAAATATCTGCTCACATTAAGCATACACTCTGTTTGACGAACATTCCACAATACGTACTGCAAAAATAGTGTTCTGAAGACCGAATGGAATCGGGGTGAGCCTCGCGAACAGGACGATCTTGAAAGCCTGGGACCCAGATATCACGCGAAGTATCGCTCTCGCAGTGTCGCTCTGCAGGAGAGCACCAATTGGTAGCCTGGTGGACAGTAGGCCCAGGGTGACATGGGCAATCGCTATGCCAAGATTAGCGGAGAGTATAACAATCGCCATGCCGCGTATCACGCCGAACAGATAGCCACTGGCGACAATGAGGAACAGATAGCCAATCACAATTGGGAACGACACCACTGTGAACAGACCTATAAAGATCACGGCGATGATCCAGGCATTCTGATGCTCGATCCAATAAAGCAGCAGCTTTATGTAATCCCTGCAGATGAAGACGATAGTGCCGAGGAAGGCCAGAGTCGCAATTGTAATTACGACGTAGCATATTGAGTTCGAGCTGATACAACCAAAGGGTATCCACGAACTCTTGGAAGAGCGCATCCCAGTCTCAACATCGTCTATATCAATGATTTGGTCCATGTTTCTCTCTATAATGTTCTCTACAGTATATCAGTGAGCAGCCAGTTCTTGACAGTAATGTGCTTAAAAGCAAGTAATAATTAATTAAAACAGTAGAATAGAATCTATTTACTTCAGCTTACATTGCTAAGAAATAATTATAATTAATATTAAAAAATAAGATTACACACAAAAAATTCATCTCTTCTGTTTAAAATAGTAAAATAGAACTTATTTACTTCAGTTTAAATTGCCAAGAAAGGACAATAAAAATAATAATTGATGTAAAAAAAATAATGATCATACACACACACACAAGAGATTCATCTCTTCTATTCTGCTTTAAATAGTAGAATAGAACTTATTTACTTCAGCTTAAATTGGCAAGAAAAGACAATTAAAATAATAATTAATGTAAAAAACTTAATGATCACACAGGAGATTACTCAAATATTTTAAATAAATCATAAAGTCGAAGATTAATTATTTTACCTTGCAACATCGATGAAGGGAAGTGAATCCGACTTACACTTCAACACATAATGCGAAATGCGTATAAATTTGTTCGGGAAGAACGTGACACATAAAATTTCGGTTGTTAAACATGTTATTTGGCAACATGTCAATCGCAACCTATTGAAAAACGCAAAACAGTAGAAAAATATTAGCATAAACGTAACTATTTAACTGTTTAACCGATTGCTCTTAAAGTTGTCATTTCGCTATAAATAAAAAATATATAATTTCTATTTTTTTAATTAATTAACTAAAATGCTGTAAATAATTATTCGGAAGCGTGGCAAACGGTCGTCAACCACAAGAATCGGACAAGAAGGGAATACATCTGCATGGACGAGATTCAAAAATGGACCTGTAGATGGCGCTAGCGCCACGACAAAGCTAAAAATCACTAGACTTAGTCTGTTCACATTGCTTAAACTCAATATTTTCGCTTTCTTTTTTTTCAACGTTCAAATTGTAGCGAATTGCTACATATAATGAATGTAAGTAATGGATGGCACAAAGATTCACAAGTAATAACGTATATTTATTAGCACATACAATGTCTTATCGCGACAATGTAAAGTGATGTCGTACATGAGGACGGTTAAAGAAAGAATAAAAATAAGAGTATATCTAGATGGAAACTTGAGATCGTGTTCATGAGAGCGCGCCATCTGGTCGCAGAGTATGTATGTCTAAATTAGATAAAGCATGAAGTATAACTGAGTGTGAGAATGTGTGTGTGTGTGTGTGTGTGTATGAAAGTGTGAATGTGTCTCCACAAAATATATATTTATCTTGTTCTTGAAGATTTAAAAAACAACGTGAATAAATCCGATTATTTATTCGGAGCTAAAATAGCGTCAGATAATGCAATTATCCTACAATTCGGGATAAGAAAATGTCATTCTGTTTTAATTTTTCATTTAAAAGATAAAAATAACGAAAAAAAATAATAGTAAGATAATATAAAGTTTAAAAAATGAAAATTTTAATCAATATGCATAATTACAGATTCTTGAAAATCAGAGCTTGGTCTTATTTCAAATAAATTTATTTAAAATATATATTTTAAATTAAAAAAATTTAAACAGTTATTTAGTATTTATTATTTAAAATAACTTCTTTTGACCTATTTCTTATTTAATATTTCAAATAATTTTTGGAACTTATTTTATATTTTTTATTTTAAATAAGTTGTATCAGTTTTTTATTAATTGTAAATTTTTAATAATTTTCTGGAACCTATTTTAGATTTTTATTTTAAATTAATCAGTTATGTTACCAATTCGTCGGTAAAAGTGACAGTAAATAATTAAATTATATATTTATGATGAAGTATTGCACGTGTGAAATATGAGGTATATCCACATTGATCCATATTGATTTTCCACCTGATTCGTGAAGGGTTAATATTATTAAGTATAATTATAGCTATAAAAAAAACTGAAACGTTATATTTAGAAATTTATATATTTGTATATTCAAAATCATAAAAATATTTTTTATTTAAATGCTATTTGAAACATTTATTTAAAATACATATTGGGTGGTCCGGAAAGTCCGTGCGGATTTTACAATGAAAAATTGTATATACGATACCTTCATCAAAAATGAACGAAATTTAAATTTAAAAAAAGAGTTTTAAAACTTGAAATCTCTACATTTAAAAGCTTATCACATTTTTTGAGTTTATATGAGTTTGATAATTTTTACATACCAAAAACTACGAGCTGAAAAAAATAAAAAATTTTCTTTTCACTTTGGGGGTCTCTCACGTGCCCAAAAAAAATTTACGAAAATTTTCGACTACCCATCGTGAAAACTTAAAGCTTTCCCTACAAAATCATTTTTTTTAAATGTTCCTATAATTTTTTGTTTCTGAGTTATTCGCGTTAAGTAAAGAAGCATTCTGATTTCGATTGCTCATAACTCCGATAAAAATCATCATATCGCAATTTAAAAAACAGATTCTTAAAGCTGAAACTTTGCTCTAGCGAATGATATAATCGTAACGAAAATTTCGCAACAAATAAAAAAACTTTTGAAAAATCAATGAAAAAATCCGCACGGACTTTCCGGACCACCCAATACTACTTACTTTATATTTTAAATAAAAGACAAGTTACTTTTATATTTTAAATAAAAGTTATTCTATATTTTAAATAAATAAACATTTCTTATTTCTTATTTTATAATTTAAATTTGTTGTGACCTATTCCTTATTTAATATTTAAAAATAAGTTTTTGGAACCTATTTTATATTTTTTATTTTAACTAAGTCATATCAATGATTTTACCGACTCCTACGATTTTACATTTAAAATAAGTTTCTGGAACTGATTTTATATTTTTTATTTTAAATAAGTCATATCAGTTATTTTACCGAGCCCTGTTAAAAATATAACAAAATGGATACAGGAAACAAAAAATATAATGAAAGTATTATTTCTTTTATCAATTTTGTTTCTAATTCAAATTTACAATTTCTCTAAGATATAATTTAGGATCTTTTTAAGGATTGCTATAATAAAAGAAATCACAGAATGCATAATCAATTATCTTGATATCATGTAAGAATATTATGTAAGTATTAAAGAAATATAATCAAATTTGTATAATATTGGAAAGGTGGCAATCTTAGACATTGAAAACATTTTATTCAGTCAGTAAGAAGCATTCTACATGATAATAATAATCATAGTATAATCCGTGATAATAATAATAATTAATAATCATAATAATTCATTCGTAATAACCACAATTTGTAAATGTACAAGGTAAACTTTCTCTCTCACGCTCTTTCTTTCTCTATCGCACCCTTTATTTCTCTCTTTCGCTCTCCGTTCTCGCAATCTCTCTCGTTCACACGTTGAGAATTGTCATTTTATATAGTTGTACATAAAATTACAGAAAAATTCACCAATATATAAATCAAACGTCGTTACTCTTCAAAGACTATGAATGTAGTCAATAAATCATCCCTATCATCATTCCGTCTCTGCTGCAAAGATACTTCTTGATATTTTTCTTTCTTTCTTTTTCTTTTTTTTTTCAGTTCGGCATTCGGCAGCGTTGTTGGATTTGAAGGACTACTCTTTTAAAGATCCGCAGCGGCAACGCCCTCGTAATATTTCCCTAATATAGTATATTTGTACATTTGTAGGTCCTTTCCTCATAACCCTGGAAAACACGGGCAGAGATTCGATGGATCCCCTGAATGCATGAAATCAACGATCAATCATCTAATCCTAATTTCACATTCAATCTGATGTGCTGATGATGGAATATAGATAAATAAATTTAAATGTCAACTCTATATTCTTCTATTATAGACAGTCCAGATTAACAAAACGAAACGCAAATCTAGATCCTCGTCTATAATTCTTCTTCTGATTGATATTCAACTCCTTCAAAAGTCAATGATCTTGAAATATGTCCAAGTAACATTCAAAAGATTTTAATCGTTCGTTGTTTATTAAAAAGTTAACACAAAATTTATCGGACACATGTTCGTTTTCGGACATGTGTACTTTATGGCCACATTATTTATGTTTTAAATTCAATCTTCGTCTACAATATACTAAAAAGAATAAAAATTTAAAAGATTAGACAGACCCTTACGCAAGGTAGGTATTACATAACAAAGTACTAAAAACAAAGCCATAACGTATATTGCTGCCAGTAAATTCATCTATTTTTTTTATCACAATTCAATTTATCTAATTCCTGTGTTTTTGTCAATTAGAAGTTATTAATATAAGTAGAGGAGCAGTTTCAACAACCCCCCTCCCCCAATCCTCCATCAATGCTATATAGAAATATTCATCTTACACTGTAGCTTCGCTTCTGTCTTCATTTTAGTATCAGAAAATTAAATTCTATTTTTGAAGCGTCTTTAATAAAGCGTTTTTAATAAACAACGAGCGGCGACTACCTTTGAATTAGTTAAGTGTCATGACCTTGATAACATATTTACCCTTCTTCTTCCATAATAGATTTCCGACAATCGCAGAATCGCAAGACGTTTATCGTTCTCTATAAAATCACACCTGCGTCTGCCAGGGTTAATATAGATAGGTGAGAATATTTAAGGCGAATAAATCCACTATACATACATCCTTCAACAAAGTTTCGGTGGAAATATATCCCGTAAAAAAACGTCGGCGACCCTGTAAAGAATCGAGGCTCGTAACAACAACGGGGGCGCAGGGCGTGACCACCGCGGATTCTCTTTTTTTTTTCCCGTTATTACTGTAAATCCATATTACTATTGATTTGAGGTAGTGTATTCAATGTAATCCTATTACCTTGCTGCTATATGTTGCGTGTGTGGATATGTTGTGTATGTCGTATGAATACTCCTTCGCACACCTACCGCACTTCCGACTGCGAGCCCGGAGTTGTTCTTTGTCGTTTAATATACGTACATACGTATAAAAAGGTCCGGTGTGTGTCTCGTGGAGCGTACGAGTGCAAAATGTTTGCAGGCCTATTGCAAAATATTATTATCGGCAGTAATTTCACAGGCGATTATGAGTGTATTGATCGGTATATATTATTTTTCCAAGCTCATAGTTCGCGCCGGCCGTAGGTGTGCTTCACAAAATTATCGTCTATGCAATGGAGTATGAGGAAGCCGAATGTCGGACAAATTCCATCGAGACTTCTACATCTCGATTTTTCTTCCTTTCCTCTTTTCTCTCTCTATCTCTCTCTCTCTCTCTTCACACGCGCGCCCAAGAATTAATCCCGTATCAATAACGAGTGCGCGTGTGTGTGTGTGTGTGCTCATCTTTCCAGAAAACGTTCGGATGTTCCGCAAAAAATCCGTCCGCAATTCGGCGTTTTTCAACTTCATTTTTTTGTTAAATACCAAATACGACAAGGCTGCTGACATTAGGCTTGCTAGCACTTTGTAAATAATGCCCAGCGATTGTGCTATTTTGTTTAAGTTTCTCTTTAACTATTACTTCATGAATAATCATTATCACATTTTTTCTTTTTTTTTTTTTTTCTTTAATTAATCGTCTTCACAGATCGTCGAGGAGAGGGGGAGGCGTGCGACACATCGTCGGCGCCGCGCCAAGTTGGCTCAATCTATGAACACTTCTGTAAAAAATATAATATCTATGGATGGTTGAGCCCTTGGCCAGCATACGCAAACGAACCGAGTTAAGTTGCCTCTCTCGCAGGGGGGGAGGGCAAACCTGGGAGGGTGGGATCACTTCTGCACGGAGTGAGCAATGTGGCCACATAGTAACGTATATGTATATCTAACACATGTACTCTCTGCATAGAA